TAGAAAGCCTACAGATTGGGAGAAGATCTTCACTAGCCATAAAACAAATAAGGGTCTCATATCTAAAATATACCTGGAACTCAAAAAACTTAAATACCCCAACAACAAATCCTCAAAGAAACAACTGCCCAATAAATAAATGAGCTAAAGACTTAAAGAGAAACTTCTCTGAAGAGGAAATAAGAATGGCCAATAGACACATGAAGAAATATTCAACCTCTCTAGCCATAAAAGAAATGCAAATCAAAACAACATTGAAATTCCACCTCATCCCAGAATGGCTATAATTAAGAACTCTAATAACAACAGATGTTGGAGGGGATGTGGTCAAAAGGGAACCCTACTGCCTTGTTGTTGGGAATGTAAATTTGTTCAACCACTTTGGGAAGCAGTATGTAGGTTCCTCAAAAGACTCCACATAGAGCTCCCCTATGACCCAGCAATCCCAGTTTGGGGCATTTACCCAAATGATCAAAAATTAGACCATACTAAAGCTACCAACACAACTATGTACATTGCAGCATTATTTACCATAGTTAAGATATGGAACCAACCAGATGCCCCTCAGTAGATGAATGGATTAAGAAAATGTGGTATATGTAAACAATGGAATTCTATGCCTCCATCAGAAAGAATGACATCACACCACTTGTTAGGAAATGGAAATACTTGAAAAAAATTATATTAAGTGAAGTAAGCCAGGCCCAAAGAAATATAGGTGCCATGGTTTCCCTTATTTGCAATAACTAGTACATGTGTAGCACAGCAGAAAAGGCCAAAAGCTATGTACATCTGATTGTAAAAGATAATGTTAAAGGAAATGAACCCCAAGACAGGGACACAAATATCTTTTTTCTTTCTTGCTATTGTTTCAAACATATTTATAATATACCATTTGTTTTTTTGTTGTTGTTTCTTTCTATGTTCCTTCCCCACGATATGACCCCTGTTTTCACTGTATTTGCTCTTGGTGCCCTGCATCTTGTATATACAATTTTCTAATTTGAGAAGGGAAAAGGAAAGATCAAAATGCTTAAATAAAGATACAGGTTGACCCATTTTAGCAATGAGATGTACAAAACACTATGTTGAAAACAAACTATTTTGGCCCCGGGGCAGGGGTGTAGTTAGGTAGGTGGGAGGAAAGGGATAGTAGGGGGAAAACAAAGGAGAAGCCAACAATGCTCAATAAGAAATGTACTCAATACCTTGCTCATGTAACTGTAACCCCTCTGTACGTAATTTTTACAATAAAAAATGTACAAAAGAAGACGCTCTTGTCCTTAAATTTTATCTCATATAATGTTCAGATATATTGCTATTTTCTAGTAAGCATATATATTAAATAATATCAAAACCAAATTGTTTATTAACCAAATATAATATGCAATAATTAAACCAGACTACTGGGTATAGAATGTGACTGTCCTTAAAGACTGAGACATGTACTTCTTGTTAAAACATTGCATTTCTTCTTACATGAAATTATGCAGTATGTTTTGAAAAATAAATTTAACTATTATATGAATTTTTTATTCCAACTCCTATATATTATTCTAAGTTAAATTGAATGTTGGTCACTAAACCTACATTATTTTGAGCTTTACTGGAACAATACTTGCGCTCTGAAATGCTAGAACAATATTAGCTAGGAAATGAAGGGAATACTTCCCCAATTCCTTCCTCAGCTTTTCAGTATAGAAGAGCAAGACTCCATTTACTGGGTCGCAAAACAAAGAACCTAGAACTGGATTTTCATTTTAATTACAGTGTTAAACCCACAATAGGAAGACCAGAAACAGGCATTAAGCAAAATCCCTTGCACCCAGGTGAGAGTTCACAGAGCCTCTAGAAGTTCTCTACTTGAACAGGCAAAGGCCTCTATGCTGGTGAAACAGAGTCAAATTTTGACTGGCTTTGACTGAAACTGGTCCAGCACCACCACTCCTTATTCTATAAAAGTCTCTATGGGTGTGAGATTTTGGAGTGACCCAGCTTAGCATCAGTCTTAGCAATCAAAGAATGATTGGACCACCTCTCCCTTCATCTTTGGAGCATGCTTATCTCCAAGCCAATGCTTATAGATGGAGTATGAAGACACCAGGCTCTATGTTGAGACCTTGCTTGGGAATACACACTTGAGCTTTAGTCTATAAGACCACCCATTGCATCATGGACCAGGGTGTCTTCCTGGGATTGTCAGATGAAACTCAAGTATAACTCAACTTAGTGTCAGCCTTGGTAGCCAAAGAACTATCTTTTAAAGAATTGACTGTACACATTAAAATGTATAGTGTGAAGTTAAGATCCCATTAGCTAAGATTTCCCTTACTACTAAGGGTAGTAAGCAAAGGATGTTGTCTTGGAAATAACTGTTATGCTGACCAAACCTAACACTAAAATTAGTTTTAAGAGCTCCCATTTCCAAATCTCTTCCATGAGATAGTGACTTTGTATTAGGCCTGAGTCAAGTGGAGGAAAGTGGCCACAGTCTTTAGTAATTCTGTCAAGCCAACATTAGAGTGCCCTCTGACATGGATCTTACATTTTGAGTTCTCCTCACAAATAGGGAGCCCAGAGCAATGTGGGCCTTGGTTCTACACTGTGTTGTACTAGACTGAGTCCATAGGTCTATGATATGGCACAGTTTTGTGGCATTGGTGGTCATAGACATGATGTAGCACAGTGGGAATTTCATAATTTTTCCTAGTACTGGTAGAAATCAAATTTTGTACTGCCTGACCATAACCTAGTAACTATAGAGGAAGCATTTGTGCTTACCTAACAAGGATGTGGCTTGTGATTATGGGCTTCCTTTTCTAGGTTCTCCTCAAGTTAATGTGGAACAGCAAACCACCTGATTATTGGACAGAAGTGATCTTGGACTTCCTTCTAGTGCTAAAACTATCACACATGTTTATAGGCTCAAAGAAAATTAACAGCCTACTTAAGATTTCTGAAAAGTCAAGCACATATACATCAGAGTTATGAAAGGTGGAGTGTATATACTTAATTTTCCAATGCCTAAATGACTTCACATGGGAACAAGCATCAAGAGCTCTCAAACTTTTTACTTATAGAGAATAGTCAATATACAAAGATATACAAGACCATTAAAGCAGCTATTTTTACACAGCTCAATAGGCCTGTGTAAAACACAGAAATACTTGGATGTTCTAACAGAGAAACATAACAAATAGATGGAAGCAATGAAAAACAACAACAACAAAACAGCCCTTGAGCTGCAAAATAAGTTAGCCATTAAAATGCAATAGAAGGCATCTTAGCAGGGTAGAAGCATCAGAAGCAAAAAATATTTAGGTAAAGAGAGTAACATCAAAATATAATTTCATGAGAAAAAAATTAAGATGTGTAAAGAGAAGGAAGCACAGGAGAATGTTGGTATAGAATTAAAAGACCAAACATGTGGGTTATTAGAACTCAAAAGTGACATGAAAATACTGAAGGTATTGACACCAAATTCAGAGATCAGAACACTTTCCAAGCCTTTAAAACCCTACACATTTTCAGGTGGAGGAGAGTCAAAGACCATTGAATCAAAGTTTAAGAATGCTCTTTGTCAGGGGTGAGACCTATCTCAAAAATAACAAGGGCAAGAAAGGAATTGGAAAGCATGGTTAAAGTGGTAAAGTTTCTACCTAGCAAGCATGAAGCCTTGGATTCAAGCCACACTATGACCAAAGGTAACCAAGTATGTAAGTAAGTATGTAAATAAATAAAATTGCTAAAACTGTTGTCATGAACACAATAATGAATGAAGTTAGATTGGTTGAGGCATATTACAAATGAATCTATAATCACTTGTAGTTTTATCACTACTATTAAGTGAATATGCACATACAGTGTCAATGTGAGATCAGACATTCCTAGCTCATGCCTGTAATTCTTGCTGCTCAGTAGGCTTGAGATCTGAGGATCAAAGTTCAAAGCCACCTTGGGCAGGAAAAATACATGAAACTCTTGTCTCCAATTAAGCATTAACAAGCTAGAAGTAGAGATGTGGCTCAAGGGGTAGAAATCTATTCTTGAACAGGAAAAGCTCAGGTACAGCATACAAGCCTTGAGTTTAAGTCGCAGGATTGGCACACAAAAAAAGTCAATGTGAGATTTATTAACACATAACTATCAATGAACAGCCTAGACCAAAGCTAATGATTCCCTATTTCTAAATTAAATGCCTAAATATAATTCCAGATACTCATAGACAGAGGTAGAAGGATTATGGTCCAACACCTGCCAGAGCAGTCTTGTGATCCTACCTGGAAAAACAAACTAAAAGAAAAAGACTGGCAGCATGATTCAAGTAGTAGAACACTTGCCTTGCAGGTAAGAACCTTAAATTCAATTCCTATTGCCAGCAATCAATCACTAAATAAACAAACTTATACACTTATTATAGTTTTGCTTAATAAATACTCAATAAAATCTTGAGCATTCCCTTTACTTACATTTCTATGACAATTTAAGAATAAAATGCTTTCCAGAAAGAACTAAAGTCATGAGCCACATGGTAGTTTTGTCAATGATTGATAGCATATAGAATGACAGTGCCTTCTTGCTTGTGTAAGAACACTTTAAAAATAGTCGCATAATGAGAAAATTGCCGTAGGACACGTTTTTCAAGACATATTCCTTGTCATTAAATAATACATTATTGTGAATAAAATTTACTAACATTAGATGACTATAATGTTGGATAAAATATATGAAACTTAAAACAGTTCAAGATATTTAAAGGATCATCACATGTAGAATGTTGCTTTCCAAACACTAACACTCATGTGACAGACAATTCAATGATACTGTCTTATTGGTAATTTGTTTCAAACATTGCTTTTGGTGATTTCAAGGTGATTCTCACTATATGATATCAAATCATCATCTCAAAATTACATCTTACATTTTAAATAAAAGAAAAATTATGCTTACAATATCACAAAATGCAGAAATGCCAGGCAATCTGAAGGTCTCTTTCTTACCTGTTTGTGTGCATGATCATATGAGTTAATGTGGTTGTCAAATTCCTGATGCTTATAGTACTGTTTGTCACAGAGTTCACAGTAAAAATTAGCCTTCAAGTCTTCTAGAGCTTTCGCTATGCTATTCTCCTTCTCAGCATAGTCCTGGAATATATAAGTTGAACGAAGAATACAATTAGCTTTTCCTTGAGTTACTTTATTTGGACAGTTGTCAACTTCTGTATAATAATTGGAATTAGAACTAGAATATAAAAGAAGGGAAATATAAGCAAATACTAGGACACCAAATGAAAAAAAATATGAGTTCTGATAAATAAAGTATTAAGATAGGAAGCAAAACTAAAGGGAAAGAGTAGCAGAAATCTGGAGCAGAAAAACGAGTCACAAAAATAAATAGAAGTCGTCAAACAACTATGTCAGCATTAAAAGTGAAAATCAAAAAGGTATTTTGAATCAAAATACCTGTGTTTTTTTGGCTGTGGTGTAGAGTAGAAGCTTTTCCACTGGGACCAGTTAAAGTGTGTCCTTTTTTAGGAAGGCTATATTACACACATTTCAATTTAGTTTTTTCTTGGATTCCTAACATACTGTTATAAAATTTTATTGAAACTAGGCTGGGAAGGTGGCTCAGTGGTAGAGTGCTTGCCTTGTATGCATGAGGCTCTGGGATCAATTCCTCAGCACCACATAAGCAGAAAAAGTCAGAATTGGCACTGTGACTCAAGTGGTAGAGTGCTAGCCTTGAGCTGAAGAGCTGAGGGACAGCACCCAGGCCCAGAATTTGGGCTCAAAAAAAAAAGCTATTGAAACTAGATTTTATTAGCCCACGTCAATTACTTTGACATTTAAATATCATCTACTTTGGAAAATTAACACACTTAGACTCAATAGAGACCATTTCTCAACTTTGTCCCTGAAAAAAATAAAAGGAAATTTATAGTCAGTTGTCAGTAAGTTTTGTTTAACAATAATGAAATAGCAAGCTCTGGACTAAGTCTTTCAGGTTTCCTTAGATACAAATTACCCATTTCATATCTCTTTAGGTGCTGCTCTTGTCAGACAAGACCCTATTTTAGTTATTGGAACTTAGAGATTAAATCATACTAACCTGTGTGTGGTGATGGCAAATATTTTCTTTGCATCTATCAAATCTAAATAATTTTTATTAATGATTCAATGGGTGACTCATGTGATGTCATTTTACTGTATATATGTGCATAAACACATGATACAGTTTACCACAACTTTGAATTTCATATTTTACAGTAATCAACTATTTGTCATAATCTATAAATACGTAGGTCATATTTTCACTTAAAGATATTTATTCATTGTTAAGTTTTATTGTTTTTCAACTGCAGGAAAAAAAGATGATGAATGGTATAATAATAATAATAAAATAAATTAGGCTTGTGCATGATTTCATCATTTTCAATAATTAATCCATTTCTCAGCAGATTTGTGAAAATTCCTCATTATTCTATTCTATTAATTCTATTATATAACAACTAGTTTTAAAACAGGAAAATGACTCATATAGCTCGACATTGCTGGCTGAACATTATATACTCAATCATCATCAATAATACTTTGAGGACTTAACAATTTAAATAAAACAAAAATTAGCCAATACAATTTCATGGCTTAACTGTGTGCAACAGAGATAACATTGCAATCAACTCTGAATTAGCTCTCAGAATAATTTTGAACTAAAAGGAATTTCTTAATACATTCATTCATTGTTCCAATTAATTACAATTACAGTAAATCTTACTTTCTCTTTTCTAGATATTTGATTATTTCTCTTAAGGTATAAGTGTTTTTCTTCTTCATGCTGATATTCCACTGGAGACACAATTATTTCCTACTTTGATATAAAAGCCAGAAATTTTAGTGGAATAAGCTGATATTAGGTAAGTTCCATTCTCTAAAATAAATATCAGCATTAGTCTAACTTTGAAGAGAAAAACAATAACTTTAGAATAATGATACCAGTTAACATTGACTCACTACTTATATAGCATCAGACAAATAGCATCAGACATTTATTTAGAATTTTGGTGTGTTAACTTATTTAATACTGATTAAAGTGATAGAGATACATATCCTAATCACTTGCTCAATTTATAAGAAAGAATACGAGAGTACAGAAAATTAAGTAACTGCTTCCATGATATAGAGAACAAGTGTGCAGTCCATTCTTGAGCCAGGTAACCTGCTGTACAGCATTTAAATAAATTTTAAACAGAAAAGAGAGAAATGTATAGTAAGCTTCATTATCATATACTATAACATCACTCAGCTGTAATTATCATCTCAATGTTAAACTTGTTTCAGGGTATCCTGTCTTCTCCCATCTCCCATCCTTTCCTACAGACGTATATAAAAGTTTTGAAAATATGACAATAAACTTATATGTTGGTGTCAAAAATAAAATATTGTCAATAATTCATCATTTATGTGCAGCTCTATCTTCCTCTTTCTGTTTCTACCCTATTAAAAGATATAAAAAGAAACATAGTATGGGTTTATGTTAGGTAACATAATAGGAAACATTTTTGAATCTGTCTTTGATTTAAAGTAAGGAATCAAGACTTAACATGAGAAAACCTTGACAGAACAGTGTGATTATTATTGCCTGTATGTCCTAAGCCAAAGGAAAAAGACCCAGACTCATACATATTGTTGATTATAATTATTTTTTACAAAAAACTACATTTTTCTATACTTCTGGTTCTAGCTAAGCCTCAGGGCTCCTTCTTCATTGTGGATGATATTGAAATAGGTCTCTATACATATTGGACATAGCATAAGACTTCATAAACTAATATACTTGGACAAGGTAAAAATAAAGTGCATGCATATTCAACTTCAAATGTTCCCCCTGTATCTGAAAAAGTCATTGCCATTCTATGTCCATCTGAAAACACAGCTTTACAAGCATTCTCTTACTCTGATGGTAGAAAGTGAAGAACAAGGTCTAGTTCAATAAGCATCAAACACACACACACACACACACACACACACACACACACACACACACATACATCTTTTACCAGATCATATATAGAATTTCTTACATATTCTACATGTTAATCCTTGCCCAGTAGGTTGTCAAATTTTCTCTCTTTATGTAATATATCACTTAACTGTGTTGTTTCCTTCATTGTACATAAATTTCTTAATTTGATATAATCCTATTTTGGTACAATCCTACTTGTTTAGTGTTACTTTTCTTGTTAGAACATACTGGCTGCATCTAAAATATCTTTTCCTATCCAATTATAAAGCCTTATTTCCCATTGTTGTTTTTCACTAATTCTATACATTCAGGTTTTAAATTTACATCCTTGATTCATTTTGACTTGATTTTTTGTATATAGTAAGACGTAAGGATAATTAAAAAAATAATTCTAATGTGGGGGGAGAGTAACATAAGAACACAAGTTGCCAACAATGATAAAAAATTTGAGTATGAATAATAATCACAAAAATGTAATACAAAAACACAATGAGATATGACCTACATCCAGCATAGAATTGCTATTATCAAAAATGGCAAACAAAAGTAAGAAAGAAACTTGCAAATTCTTGAGATGATGTGGAGAAATTAGAGCTCATATACTTTTCACAGGAATATAAATTAGTAGAGGCCTCATGGAAATGAATGTGGAAATTTCTTTGTAAACTGAAATAGAACTATCATATGATACAGCAATTCCACTACTGGCTATACATTAAGGGGAAATTAAAATAGTAAGACAAAGGCATACACATGCTTGTATGTTCATAGCTGTACTATTCACAAAAAACAATACACAGAATCAAAGTAAGTGTCCATCTGTTGATGAATGGATAAAGAAAATTGACACACAATACAAACACACATATATGCATATACAAGGAGATGTTATTTGATTTTAAACAGAAATGAATCCCATAATTTGTGACAACATAGATGAAACTAAAAGACATTATTTTAAGTAAAATGAATTAGACACCAAAGGCTAAATATTGTACCATTTCCCTTATATGGGAAATGTGAACATAGAAGTTTCCAGGGACAAAGGGTGGTCAAGTAATGGCTAGAGAGATGCTGCTCAAAAAATTTAAAATTTCTGTTAGACAGGGAGAATAAGTTCAAAACATGTCATACAACATGGCAAGTTATAGTGTTCTACAGGAATTCAGTTATGAGAAAACAGAGAAGCCACATTTTGAGAGGTCAAATTGGGAAAGTGGAAGGTTGCAGGTGGACTCTTGTCTCAAAGACCAGCAGCCCCTCAAATACACTTAACACAACCAGAAAACAGAGCTGTGGGAGAAGGAGAGGAAAGAAAAAGTAGAAAAACAAAACTAACAAACCAGATCAACTCCAATGTGGAGCTGTAATGGATGTTGTTTAAGAATAAATTTTGGCTGTTCTCATCATAATAAATATTACATGTGAAGTAGTACACATGAAAATTAGCTTGATATAGCTATTCTATCATGTATACATAGCTTGAAATGACATGTTCTACAAGAAATTGTTTGTATATTTTAGTTATTAAACATATTTTTAAAGAAAATATATAAAAATATAACCAGATGATAGCATGATCAGATACATAATAGTATAAAAATGTTAAATGTTGAACCAATGTTGGAATTTGAAGTACCTAATCATTTGAGCAACTCTTTTAGAGTAAAAATCAAATTATTCCACACACAAATTAACATTGCTAAACAGGACTTTTGAATATATATCATATCCTGGTATTTATGGAAGGAATAGTCTATTTAAAGCAGTTAAAACTGCACTGTTAATATGTATTCTATGTGTTGAAAAGGAATGTTGGCATATAATTTACACTTAAAATGCTAGTGAAAATAATTTTCTTATTCTCTCTTATTTCTCCACCAAGAATAAATGCATCTTTGTTTGTAGTTTATATATAGGATTAATTACAATACATGTGTGTCTAAGATATGAATCATAGAATCCGTGACAAAACTGTTTTCTTCTATGAGAATATCCAAACATTCATTTGGAAATTCCTGTGCAGAAGTGTGTGTTCTCTGTGTTAACTTAATTCCACTCATTACTTAAGTGGTAGAATATGAGACGGTTTCTAGTTACTTTGGACAACCACCTCTATTTT